TTTTTTAGTTTTATTTATGATTTAAATAAATGGTACCCATTTTTGTGGTTCTGACACAAACAACCGGTTTAACCGGATGTTTAGCAACTATATTATTTATTCTAATTTAACTACTAGAGCGAGACCCATGGCCGCCCGATCTACGTTATTTTTCAAAAGCTAAAAATTTCTCAGCGTGTGTTTCCAACACAGGTAGGAACGATAGTCAACTATGCATTTTAAATCACGGTGGTTTTGGCTGGCAACAGATACCAAAGGTTTTTAAAATACCGGCTTAACTACGTCAAATTATAAAACGTAATTTTCTTACAATTTTCTACGTAGTAGAATAAGAAATCACGCCATCCATTTCCAAACACTTATCATGGTGGCAACCCCTTGCCAGACACTCTTAAACTTTAAATTATTGTAATTAATAGTAGAAATATTTTCAGTTTTATATCTAAAAACTTTCTAGCGAAAACTTTAGTTAACAACAGAGTTGTTAGTCCTTGGTTTTGGCCTTGCCTCAAGGCCGAAAATTGAGACGTTGACCTTGGCCTTCGCCTTGAAACTATTGACCTTGGTCTTGGTCTTGGCCTTGAAAATTTTGGACTTGGCCTTGATTGTTTTGGTCTTGGCCTTAAAAATAATTATGCTTTCTTACTGTTTTCTTTGAATTCTGCGTATAACCTTGGTCTATTTTTACAAAATGTGGTTTTATTGTCACAGCTCTTACTACTTTTTGTAACTACGTTTTGACCAATTATAATTGGTCAAAACGTAGTTACAATTTTTGCCTTACATTATGACCAACGTAATTTTGTTTATAATTGGTCATAATGTAAGGCAAAAATTGAAGTCTTTGGTCTTGAAAATGTTTGCGCAGGCCTTGACCTCGAAACTCTTAATCCTGGCCTTGACCTTAAAACTCTTGGCCTCGGGCTTGGTCTTGTAACTTGTGGCCACAGCGTTTGCTTTGTTCTTGGCCTTGCTACTTTTGGCCTTGTTACCAACTCTGGTTAACATAACTTAACTGAAAATAATTACAATTTTATTGCGTCAAAAACGAACTGGTTTCTATCAGCGTTTAATTATAGTTAGTATATAAGATGAAAATTGTAATAAAAATGAAGTTAAAAAATGGTTTTAATAGTTATTTGTTTCAAAAAAAAATTTAAAAAAATTAGCTATTAAAACTATTTTTTAAATTCATTTTTATTACAGTTTTTATCTTAGATTCTAACTGTTTTAAATGCTAATAAAAACCAGTACTTTTTTCTTATCTTTACCTGGTACTACTCAAAGCCACCATGACCTAAAGTACATAGTTGACCATTGTTTTGACTTGTGTTAGGAGTATACGCTAAGAAAATTTAAGCCTTTATAAAATAACGTAGGTCTGGCGGCCACAGGCTCTTAGACTATATATAATTTGTTCTAAAAAAACATTTTTTAACAAGTATTGCGTGACCACGTGTTAGTCACAACCTGAATTTATTATTGGGAGATATAGCAAAATCATCAATCCAAGCACTTTTGCAGCGTGGACGTCGCGCTAGGATGTTCTAAAAAAAGACACTAGGTGGGAATGCCGTCTTAATAATGTAAAAGCTATTTGATACCAAGTTCGCAAATTTTAAGACGCCCTAATCGAAATTGGAAACAACGCATTTTATGATAAACTGAAAGTTGAGAGCTTGTCTATAGTACACAAAATAAACAAGTTTGAATTTATATATGTATATATTATTATATGATTATATTATGTATATATTATTATATTATTATCATTTGGTATGATATATTGTCCAAAAGTATCGTCATCAAAGTATTGCAAAACGAGAATATGTTAACCGATTTGGCTATAAAACATCTAAAAAGTCTTAACATATTATTTGTTGAATACAGAGAAGAAGGTTTTGCCAAAGCTATGATCACAACAAACAAACTTGCAAAAAAAATGGATATAAATCCTGATTTATATCCAATATTATCGAGGGGTAAAAACGAAAATTGTTCGATCGTGAAGGCGTGTGCACTTTCATAAATCAGAAGCTGTCCACAAAGCTTGGGGGATAGTGTGTAACTTTTATGCGAACAAATTGTTCCTGTTTTTTAAATAATTACCTTATGATCAGAAGATGACGACTAAACTTTTTAGAATAAACAGGTATCTTTCTCATTTTCACACACCAACTTGGACAAAAACTAGAATTGGTGCTGATGCACCTATGAATGATCTGAAATTCATCCACGATGAATTTCTATTCATCGTGGATGAATTTCAATACTTTGAAATTCATCCGCGATAAATTTCAGAGTATTGTATCTGACGATACAATACTCCGAACGATGCCTCGAATAACCAAGATTTCAGGGGCGCTAAAAGCATTTTTTGGTCTTTGATATAGCTAACTTCTAGACATGGAACAAACTCCAAACATTTATATGTTTATACTTATGTCAAATAAGGATGCTTTGCAAAAATTGCGATGATTGGAGCTTAAGAACAAAAAAGCTTTAAAACTTTGTCCCCCCCCTGCCCCAAACGTGAGCGCAATAAGTTAATGAAATATTTTTTAAACTATTTTCAATTAAACTTATATTCATCAATAAATATTAAATTTCATAGTAAAATATTTTAGCCTTCAAAATCTATGACCATATAAAGTTTAACCCCCTCCCCCTCAATTTGAGGGGGTTGCAAATTTTATATTGTCATAATTTTTGAACGCTGAGAGATAATACTACAAAACTTAAAATTTATCGATGAATGTAAGTCTAGTTGAAAATAGTACAAAACATATTTCATCAACTTGTTGCTCACTCATTTAAGGGCAGGGGGCAAAGTTTTGGGACTTTTTTGTTCCCAAGTTCCAATCATCGCAATTTTTTGGAAAAGCATCCTTATTTGACATATAAGTAAGGATGTATAAGGAGAGTATAAACATTTAAATGTTTGGAGTTTGTCTCCATGTCTGGAAGTTAGCTATCTCAAAGACTTAAAAATGTTTTTGGCGCCCCTGCAAGATTTTATACAATTATAGAGTGATCTGTTAAACTTAAAAATTTTAATTTTACGAATTAAAGTTAAATGTTAAGTTAAATTTGCTGATTTTTGCGTGCATGGCAGAAAAGTATTTTTTCAACGCTGTGAAAAATGCTAAAAATAAAAATATCTTCAAAAAATATATAAAAGTACGAAATTAAGATGTACAGCTAACAGTTAATAACTACAACAAAAACATCACCCCCTCGGACTATCTCTGTTTCTAATATACTGAAAAAGAGTATGACAGCTCTAATATACTGAAAAAGAGTTTGACAGCTTTAAATTGGAAATTCTGTTTGAGGTTTTAACAGAGATGGGCATCTGTACCTAATATTTGAAAGCGCTACCGCTACCTTCCGCATCTTTGGGAACCAGAAACCGCTCTTCCGCTACTTTATCAAACTTTTTAATTAGTAGCGCGAGTCCGCAATTAGTCCGCAACCTAAAAAAAAATTTTAAAAAAAAAAAAAAAAATTTTTTTCCCTTTCTACCTCGTTGAGTTTTTAATATCCATATGGGATGATATAAAGTGACGCTTTTTTTTTTTTTTTTTTTTTTTTTTTTTTTTACAATATATTATGGTATCAAAGAGACTCAAAGAGGATTGTAAGATCTTGTCACTGAGAACCGTTTAACAATGCAGTAAAAGTATAACCAGTTAAATAATTACAATAATTGTTGTTTAGAAATAAATTTTAAATCTAACCAGATATTTCAAAACATAAAATAACATTTAACAACACAAAGAATATGTATAAAACTAAATATTTCAAAATAAAACAATATATTCAGGAATCATACACTTTTTTAAAATTGTTTTTAAACTTTTTTTAGTGTTTTACATTAAATTTAATTTTACTTAGTGTTGCTTATTTTTTGTTAGTAAATTGTAAGTTACATTGATATTGCCAGCATTCGTCTGGTGAGTCTAATTGGATTCTGGCGCATAATCAAATTTTTTTTTGGTGTTGGTTAAGCGCATCAAGTCCTAAACAATGCATCTTTTTACTGTTGTATCGTCCACTGTGATATATATCACAAGCCAGCAAGTTCATTGTCTGAGCTCCACAACGATGGTGCTATGGTAGAATGATACCATTATTGCAACGTTCTTGAAATTTCCTCCAAAAATCGGTTTGAACCGCTGTCTACAGTTGTTTCAAAAACCTGCTGATTAAAAAAATCTAGTTAAAATACGAAAATTTTATTGACTACAACACTTTCAAATTTGCTAAATATTTTTTGGAACAAGAAATTATCTTAACCAACAATTTATTTCTAACTGTCCACGGATAACTTAATAAGTTATCCGTTGATAGTTTTTGAAATAAATTGCTTCTACATTCTCTCCCATTTATTCTAAACTCCTAACGACATGACGTTTGCTTCGAGAAAGAATATTGAAAATAATTATTTACATTTGAAATTTCTTTATGTAAATTAATGTAAAATAATGACAAATAAAAATTTGTCAATATAAGAAAACAGATGTCGTGCAATTGTATTTGAAAAAAATTGTAATTCAACTGTTTGTTTGTTGTTATTTAACTTTAGATAAAAATTACTTTGATGAAATGATAGAAAAGTCTAGATAAACGCATAAGTATGTTTAATATAAATAACACATAGATTTAGGTGCAGACATTTTATATAAAGCAATAATTCTGCTTTTATTTTAAGTTTAAAAAATCAAATTGCTCACATCTGAGAATATTTTGATAATATAGGAAAATTTTGTATTTGGAAGATTTTAAAAAGCCTGTAATTTAAATAATATTAAATTTAGAAATACCATTTAACATTAAAAGTTAGCATTTAAACGCCTTATACAAACATTAGGGTATTAATGTAACATAAACACCTTTATTTGCATAAACACCTTTTAACCGCACCTTTTTTATAACAGTGTGTTTTTACGCATTATTTTATAAAAAAGATTAATGAAAAAAAAAAATTACAACTGACGTGGTTTAATATTTATTAAATTTGTGTCGCTTTAATATATTCTATCATTCAATTAAAAAAAAAAAAAAATGAATTAACATGTTGACCTTATGCATTTGTACCCAACGTGGGCTAATATTTACAAAAAGATATCTATAATCTCGTTGTTTTTAAATGATTGAGTAAATAATAAGTTAACAATTATTTATAAAAAATTTAAACTTTATATAAAAAAAAAAAATTATTAAATTCAAAATTGAGTCAAAATAAACTAAAAAGTCAGAGATTTTATTTGATAGCGATAGAAAATATAATATATATAAACATAACAAAAACCAAATAAAAACCATTTTGGAAAAAAACTTTTACTATTTATGGAAAAACTAACACCGGAGAATGGTCCCCAGACCCTATTTCAAAGCATAAAAAATCGTAGATTGGAAATAAACACACACAAAAATATTTTACAAATAAAAAATTCACAAATAAAATAATAAAAACTTAATTTCTTTAGGATAGTTTTGAGCATGAATGTTTTTTTAAGTTTTTTGTTGTTTTATTCGTAGTTCTATCTTTTGCTTGTTGCCTAGTATTAACATCTTTCCAAAGCATAGGGGGAGAACAAAAAAGTTCAATCTTCTCGTTTACACTATCTGAGCCAGACTGGTCTAGCCAAGGCTCTGAGTTAGTAAAGGATGGATTTGGAGTAGCTGTCATGTCATAGTAAGTAAACAAAGATCCATTTGCGTAACCGTATGAATAACGGCCGGGTAATTTTTTCTTTTTAGCTTCGTTTAACCAATTTTTGTAAATTATGTCAGATTGAATGCATTTATTGATTTTTTCGATTTCTGTCTGACGACGAGCTTCATTTTTTGTTAATTTCATTTGATGATCACGATTTTTTTTTTCTTCCAACCACTTAGATAAGCTTTCCTTCGACCTCTGATAGACAACTTCTTTCTTTTGAGCGCTCTTAAAATATTTATGCAAAAATATATTTGATAGAATATACTGAAAATCATTTGTTGAAAAGAATAATATAATTATAAAAATAAAAATCTAATTGAATAGTTTTATGAAAAGAAAGACATCAACTTCTAAAAAAAGTTAAAACTCAAGATTCAATTAGTTCATCATTAAAAAAACTTGAAGAAAAAAAAGGTCGTTCTACATCTATGTATCCATGAGACGAAATATTACAAGATTTTCATTAACAGATAAAAAAAAAAAAAGTATTATGAATTGCAATTCATTTACATCAGTACAATAAACATAAAAAAATATTTTGTTACCAAGATATTTTCTGATGTGAGCAATGTGAAATACAAGGGCTGCTCAAAAAAAAGTTACTTTAAATAAATTTTCTCAGCGCAAAATTCATTTCTCTACTGGCTTCATAAAAAAGAATCCAGTAAGTACAACAATGTAAACAAACCTTGGTATTTTGGTATCAGTCAACTTTCAAGATGATTTATATAGTTAATGTAATTACAATTTTCCATATAAAGTATATGAAAAAAAAAAACTTATTTACTAATAAAACAGGCTTAGATACAGTGTTTGATACTAAATCATTATTTATTTACTAAAAAATAAGTTATTAGTACTAAATATGAAAAAATAAGTTATTAGTACTAAACATGAATAAAGACATTCTTTACCTTTAATCTTTCAAATTCATCTTGGGCAGCTGCTTCTTTTTTCATTTTAGCAGCCAGGTATATTTTTTTCTTCAACCATTCTTCCCTGACTTCTTTAGCTAATTGTTCTTTTTTTGCTTTTTCATCTAATAACTTCTTTTTTTCAATTAACTCGTCATTTTTTTTCTTTTTCTTTAAATCTTTCTTTTTGAGATCCAAAAGAGCTTTATTGAGAACCCAGTCATCCCATGACTTTTTTTGTGAAGTATCATGCATGTTTGAGCTTAAATTAATATTCAAGAATTCAAAATTAAATTAAAAATTAATATAGTTTAATTAAACAAAACAATGCAAAAGTTTAAAACATTTTTTTATTACAATTTGACTAATATGATTACTTTTACATATAATAAAATTATATCATTTTAAATGATTCAAAAAAATTGATATTCATGCTCCCAACTCATGCAAAGTAAATCTTATGTTTCATTTTCCAGGAGAAAATTTCTGTGTGTTAAAGTTATAGTGTAAATAGGCACTATACTATAAAACAAGCCGCAACTTATGACAAATTTAAAGTCTTTGATGATTTAAAAGTATTGATGAAATTGTTAAAGAAAAAACATTCGCGAGAACAATTAATGATGAAAAGTAAAGCATTTATTTACATTTTTTATTAAAGATAAAAAAATTGTTTAAAAAACACATTTAGTTGAACACACATGTTTTCATAGCCTTTTACAGCCAGCAATTGCTAGCAAAGTTCAAGTTCAAAAATTATTTAATAATCATTGTAAGAAAAATTAAATGTGAAGCATATATATTCTGTAAATAGAAAGTATTACTTTGAAGTAATTGAAGAACTGTTAAATATTAATTATAAAAAAGGCACAACTAAAGAATATTTTTTCTGAAGTTAAACAAACATCAGCCAAACTTAAATTACCAGAATTAAATTATCTGAGATGTCACTACAGATAAAGCAAGTGACTTGAAAAAAATGTATATTGAAAAAAATGTATAACTAGTGACATTACATTAAAATGCCCTGAACTATGACACTCTTTCATATCGCTGCGCTAAAGATAAAGGATGCGATAGAACTTGTTACTAAAACTGATAAATTTATTGAAAGCCATGGCCATAATTACAGAGAGTCCAAACACTTGCTTGAAGATTGTGGTAGTAAAGCTGAAAATTTATTTCTGTCAAGTTAGGTGGCTTAGTCAAGCTGAAACTTTAAAAGACATTAGATTTTATATATATATATATATATATATATATATATATATATATATATATATATATATATATATATATATATATATATATATATATATATTAAATATTTTAATGAAAAAAATATGACTTTTTCATTTAAATATTTAATATATTTTGATCTATTTTATAAATATCGATCACCCTTAAACCGACAAAGAGCTGTATTAAATCCAACAGAATACAACACAACTCAATAATAATAATAATAATATATATATATATATATATATATATATATATATATATATATATATATATATATATATATATATATATATATATATATATATATATATACAACCAACTCCCAAATATATATATATCTTATACTGCTGAGTTAAGTGAGCGTGATGATGTCATACTCACCTAACGTCAAATAGCCTGCTGCCGGGGGCTTCAGTACATACATCGACTGACAAATAGCCTGACTCGCAGTGGAGTGCTGCTACATCGACTGAGGGTTTGGTATGGGTCAGCAACCTTTTCATTCATTATTCTTTGTTTTCCCTCATCGTTTTCTAAAAACGCTCACTTAATTTAGGCTAGCAAAAAAAGTGAGCAATTGCACATATAAATATACTATAGTAGATATGTTTATATATATATATATATATATATATATATATATATATATATATATATATATATATATATATATATATATATATATATATAAATGAGTAGAAAATCACTTATTAAACTTTTTTCATTTTACGATGTGTTTCATCAATTAAGAAATATCAGAAAAATCTAATAAATTATTATTGCTCTAGGCTTCTGAGGCTGGCTGTTAGTAAGGTTTCTTCAACTATGTGGTAGCTTTCAGAAGGGCTGATTCCATCAACAGCTGTAAAATTTTAGAGTACTAACAGTGCCACATTGCGCATTAGAGGTGTCCCTATTAATTAGATTTTAATGTGCATTGTGGAGGCCATAAAAAGACCCTTGCTTACTGCTGTGACTGAAAATATTTATTGTGCATTAGATGGAGGTGGCAGAGCTAGGGCTATTACTCCTAAAATATCTAAAATTATCTATAAAGTTTGACGTGCTGATTTTTTCCATAAGATTTCTTCATATGGTGAATCTGGAAACAAATTTGAGATTATCAAATCATTTCTTTCAAACTGCTTTATCAAAGAAATTCTCAAAGGCTAATACTCTTCATCATTTCCAGTAACTTCTGGATTCTCCCAAGGTTCTACCCTTGGTCCTGTTTTATAACTTCTTATTCTTAATGATCTTTCTGGCTTAATGATCTTCCATATCAAAAGTGACTTTATTTGCTGATGACTCAACTTTAAACTCCTATCTTGAAAAATAAGTCTTCCCTTATTGATTGATTAGAATCCAAAAAGACCTAAAGAAGAAAGTCAATCTTGAACCTGATCTCACTTCTGTACCAGATTGAGGCTTACAGTGGCCTGTGAATTTTAACTCTAACAAAACTCAGTTATTTACTGCTACAACTATCAAAATACTGTCAATATTTCAATATTAATGAATGGCAACGCTCTCGCTGAGTCCTCTTCTTTGCATCTTTTTGGATTATTGTTTACTACTAACCTCTCAAAGAAACCATATATAATAATATATCCATTTCTAAGTTAGCATCTGCTAAAATTGCTTCTCATTCTTGTGCTCACCATTTTCTCACTCCTGATTCAATTCTCTACAACCTCAATAACTATCTTATTCATCCCTGTGAATACTGTTATCATAATTGGGCTAGTTCTTTTATTGATGCTATTTCTCTTCTAGACAAAGTCCTAAAATGTATTGTAATTGTAGTTGGATCTGCTTTGAATGTCAAGCCTGAGCTTCTCTCCCATTATTGTAAGGTTGCATCTCTTTCTCTTTTCTACATATAGTATCATGGTCGCTGGTTAAAGAAGTTATAATTTCTAGTTCCATCAACCAAAACTCATTCTCCCTTGAATTATCATTCAACTAAGTCTTATCCTTTTGCTGTAACTGCATGCTCTAAAACTTTTATTTACCTAGTTTTTGTCCTCACACTTCATCCCCTTGGAACTCTCTTTCATCATCATGTTTTCCTGTATCATACAACTTAGAACTTTTCAAGCCTTCCATCAATCTTTTTTTGGCTCTTTAACTCTATTCTTTATTTTATAGTATCTTCTAACTTAATAGTGGTTGCTTGCAGCCTTGTTAGAAGTGAATGAGAATAAAAAAAATTAAAAAAAATTTGTAAAACATCAGATTGCTGATTTAAATTTAAAGTTATAATAAAAAAAATTATTTAGGGGTAGTCCAAGACCCTTTAAAATCAGACAAGTCCCTGATGTTATCAAAGAAATAATTCTTCAAAACTATGTTATGTCAGTCTTCTCCATTTAGCCAGCACTTTTGCACTTAAGTCTTTTTGCGCTCGCTCACATGCCCTCAAAAACTTTGGCAAGTGCACAAAAAAGCGCTTGCCAAAAATAATAAAAGTATTTTGCTCAACTTTTGTGAAATAAAAAGTTGAACAAATGAACTAAAAAAGGTATGTTGCAATTTAAACTTTCTTTTACTAAATTTTTTTAAACTAATTAATCTAACTAGATAAATTAGATAATTACTAGTATTTAATTTATCTAACTAGATAAACTAGATAAATACTAGTATTTATTCAAAACATTTTTTTCTCTATTTTTTTAATTAAAATAGCAGAAAAAAAGAAATTTTAAAAATTAAAAAAAATTTTTTTGATAATAACTTTTTCAATGTTTTTTATAAAATGATTACTATCTTTTAAGTTTTAATATTAGTTCAATTTTTTAAGATCTAGATTGGCATATTTTTGAAAAACTAGCAATATCATATACATTTTAACTATTTTCTTTTTGTTTTTTTTTAAATCAAAAATTTTAAACTTTATTATTACTTTAAGTTTGAGGCATAGTTATCAAGTATATTTAGCATAACAAAACCTTATAATAAATGTTAATTTAAAGAGATTGGAATTAACTTAACTGTTATAGAATACAAATTATATTTTTTTGTTACTTTTAAATACAGATTGCTATTTGGGTAGAAGTAAATTATTACAAACTTGTCTTTAAATTTCTGTTAATCTCAGAAATGTTATACAAACATTTTACTTGCATATTATAGCTTTTTATAGCAAACTATAAAAAGCTATAAATTTGAAAAAAATTTTAAACTTTTAAAATGGAATTTAGATACAGTGAATTCTGGAAATTAAAATAAGGTTTTTTGTTTAAGTAAACTTCTAGAATTCCAAAATTTCCAAGAAAAAAATTAACTATGAATATAAGGGACCCGCCCAATATTCAAAGGTTTGAGCATAAAAAGTGTGTATGTATACATATATAAGCATATATAATAATATACATAAACCAATATATATATATATATATATATATATATATATATATATATATATATATATATATATATATATATATATATATATATATATATATATATATATATATATATATACACACATATATATATATATATATATATATAATATATATATATATATATATATATATATATATATATATATATATATATATATATATATATATATATACACACATATATATATATTATATATATATATATATATATATATATATATATATATATATATATATATATATATATATATATATATATATATAAACTATAAATTATAATTATAAATTTCATTTTAAATGAGATTAAGAAAATTGCTTACTTGAGCATTTACATACCTAGTACAAACTAACAATATCATAAAATATTGAAGGGGTCATTAACCATTATAAAAAGTACAATCCGTTTAAAACTTTTGCATTGTATATGCTAAAATTAGATATAAGTAAGCCAATTAAATTACCAATTAACTATTCATTACCTTTGATTATTATTTGCTTTATTAGGTACTGATAACGATTTGTTCGAACAATCAACTGATTCAGACAAAATGGTATCTGCTTCAAATGTTATATTGACTGGAAAATCTTTAAATATATAACTTTTTTTTTCGGTTAGATTTGGGGAAGAGCATTTGAATCCTTTATGCCAATACATTTTCTAGTTTAAACGTTTAAGATAGATGATCTTCTAGTTTAAAAGTTTAGGATAGATGACAGAAAAACTGAAAGTGGCGCATACATACAAATTTTCATATATGTATATGGAGCCTAAGTTGTTTTAAATGCTAAACTTTTTATTTTTACTTTATAATATAAGAAAAAAATGATTTTAATCATTTAGCCCAAAATATATCTCAGACTCAGCAACTAAAAAATTAGTTATTTAGACAAGTTACGTGGTAATAATGCAGTTGCCTAAGTGACACTTATGCATTCGGCACCGTAGTTTTTTTAATTCTTGAACGTTGGTCGTTTCGTCGTTATTTAATTCTTAGGCGTTAGACGTTCGTCGTTTCGTGCCGCTGTCGTACAAATTTATTTCCCCCATAAATTTATTTCCGAGTCGCACGCCGATTGGTTAAAGAGGCCACCCGATAAATAACTAAACAACGCCATACCATAGTCATAATTAGAGATGTGCCGAAACCAGTTTATGCCGAGTCTCCGATTCCGGGTACCCGGCTGAAAAAACTGGGTCGAGTCCGGGTACTCGGCACCGAGTCCATTTTTTAAAAGTTGGAATAAAAATTTGTGAAATCTCTAGGGCTGAACTATTCACACAAAATACGCTTTTTACGCTAACTAACAAAAAGTTATGTGGCCGACGTACTATTTAGCAAAACCCCGCAATGCAGGGTAAGGGGCCTGAGTTGCAGGGCCTAACTATTTTAAAAAGTTGTGCAACAGTTTTTTTAACAACTATATTTAGTTTAAAATTATTTTTCTTTCCTGGTGGAGCGGGCCTAAATAATATTTTGTGGGGAAAGGGGCAAAATTTGAAGTTCCGCCATTGAAAGTTATATTATGGAAAGCAAAAGATTAAGAAATATAAAGAATTGCAAAAAAAGGTAGACCTTCTCGACTGTACAGTGAATAAAATAAAACAAATAAAAAGAACTTAAACAACACTTATTTGCTGTATCTTATTTTAATTGTTTTATTAACTTTAGATTGTAATGCACAAACATTAGGTATTCTCCGTTATCTGCTTTTAGTCTGCTTCTTGTTGCTTCGTATATGTCCCCACCAGCACTAAATAACCTTTCACTTTCTATTGATGACGGAGGTGCTGTAAGATATTTTAATGCCATCTTTTTTAGTTTTTCAAATTGCATTCCACATTTACTCCACCACAAAAACGGAGAACTTTTATTTTCTAAAAGAGGCAGAGATAAGTAGTTGTCTATTTCTTGAGTAATTGCAGACTTTAATATTGCTTGCTTTTTAATTATGTCAGTGGTAACAACTTCAATATCTACTAATTCTCTTTCTGCCTCGGAACGTCTTTCACTTTGCTTTCTTCCGGTTCTCATAGAAGCTACATCTTTAAAACAATCATCAATGCTAATGAATCCATTAGATGCTGGAGCTTTTACTATTGGAGAATTGTCGGAGTCAGAGTCAACAACATCTTGCGCTCCTTGCATTTCTTTCCATGCTTCTTCAACCCACTCCTTAATAACATTTTCATCTGCATGTTGATAAAGTAATTTATATCGTGGATCCAAAAATGTTGATACACATAACATTTTATTAAGCAAAAATTTATCAAGTCTTTTAGTAACAGATTTTATTAGTTCATCAATCATCGTCATAATCCCAGCGTATATATCACTTGATGAAGCTTTTTGTAATAAAACTTTTAATGCAAGAACAGATGGTATAATTTGTGCGCAAGTTTCGTCCCTCCTACCACATTTTTTTGTTAAGTTTTCAAATGGAGCAAGAATGTGAACAAGTTTTTCGACTATTCCCCATTGATAATTAGTAGAAAGTTTAATTTCATCATATTCTGCTGCATAGGTGGCCAAAGGAACTTTTTGTTCAAACGTTCTTTGTAGCATTTCAAATGAACTGTTCCAGCGAGTTGGAACATCTTGTTTCATTTTGTGAGGTACAGTACTTAACTGCTGCTGAATTGATTTTAATTTTGCACATGCTATTGGTGAATGATTAAAATGTGTCGTTATTCCTCTGCATAAAGTTAAAATTTCCTTGATGATTTCTTGGCTAAATATAGAGTCATGAATACATAGCTGCAAAGTATGGATAAAGCATGGAATTGATGACATTCCACTGTTTTTTACTGCAGCCTTCATATTGCTTGCATTATCGGTAACAATAAGATGAATTTTGCTTAACGGGATTTCAAAAGTTTCTAAACTTTTTTGTAAATACTCTTTTATATGAACACCTGTGTGCTTTTCCGGAAAATGAATTACTCGAAGAACAGCAGTTTCTTGGGAAAATTTAGTTAGATCTATCCAATGTCCAGTAATGCTTAAAAATGCGATTTTTGCAGTATCTGCTGTCCAAATATCTGTCGTCAGAGACAAATAGTTTGCCGCGGAGATTTTTATTTTTATATCTTTAAAAAGTTCATCATACATGCTAGGGATTACGTTTTGGCTGAAATATGTTCTACATGGTAATTTGTAATTGGGGTAAGCATCTTTAATCAGTTCATTAAACCCCGTATCTTCAACAATAGAAAATGGCTGAATATCCAATGTGATAAGTTTTCCTATTATTTTATGGATTCGAATAGATCTGTGGTCATCAATATTCCACTGTTTTTTTTTTTGTAAAGCCTGAATAATGTTACTTTGTACTGTATTGGTGGTAGAAGCAACTGAGGCTTCAGAAATAGACGGCAACGATTGAACCTTTTTTTTTTCTTCCGCAAGTTCAAACTCTTTGGAATGCTTTAAACGCAAATGTTTTACCATTGCTGTAGTTCCATAAGACTTGAAAGATTTTCCTCCTCTCGTAATTAAACTATCACATAGTTTGCACTTACTCATATGAGGAGTCGTGCTTATATCAAAGAACTTCCACGCTATACTTTTTTTTGCCATAACTTTTCTTTCAAACAAAATTTCTATAAAGATAATGAAACTAGTTTTGATATCAAAGTTTTCGTTTATTTTATATGAAACGATAATTTTTTTAATAATACGCTCGAAATTAAAATATAAAAAATGTGTATAATATTTACCTTATATCTCTACTTTTATGATTTGATACGAATGAAAAGTCTATCAGCTTGATACGAATGAAAAGTCTATCAGCGTTCGAAAGCATTATAAGCGTTTCATTCAAAACTAAATTGCTAAAAATTATCTTGTGTTCTAACAGAATAAAAAGAAGCTATTCTAAAACTTTGTTTCCCATTCTTTTTATTCGTATTCTCGAATTATTTCATTTAGCGTTACAGTTTTTGTATCCGTATAAATTTTTTTTGCAAAAGTGTATTAAAAAATATTTTAAGTGAGATTGTTTTAAGTTAATAGAACTTTGTGGTTATCGACTACATAACACTCTTAGACTTATATCAAGAAGTTTAATGGTTAAAGTTTAACTAAAGAAAAAATCAATTTGAAGATACCCGGTGCCGGGTACTGCAACAAAATGGCCGATACCGGGTACCCGGTAAAACTGCCGAATTACCGGTTCTCCGGGTCCGAACCGGGTACCCGGCACATCACTAGTCATAATAACAGATATGTCTTTTATGACTATGACATATGTATTTTATGACTATGGCCATACAAACTAAACAACAACACCCGTAAATTTTCATAGACGGGTTGCTTTATTTACATTCTAAAGCGCGTGCGCAAAAAACGACAGGCTCTAAAGCTAAGTAAAAGTTATTGCGTGAATTTTGTACAAGTAAACTATGTGAATAAAAAGTCTCACAAAGTGGAACCAGCGCGATAAAAGATATACTTCTATTAATCTATACTTCATCAATCCAGCGAAGTTATATAAAAACTGAGAATTTATGAAACAGAGAACTTTAATGAAACAGACACTGCATTTGAAAATGAGTTTTACTTTACTTCTAAAGATCAGGCTGAACCAATTAATATTATAAACTAATACCAATTAATAACATTAATAACATAACCAACCAATTAATAACATAAATTAGGATCAAAAGCTGTTGTTTTTAAAATTATTAGTTGGTAAATTGATGAAATAGAGAACTGTAATGAAACACTGCATATGAAAATGAGTTTTACTTTACTCCTAAAGATCAGGCTGAACCAATTACTGTTCATTATGAGCCATAGCTTATTAACGAAAGCCATGATAAAATTTCAGAAAAATCAAAAGTTTCATTCAAATTGTTAATTAATTCTTTTCAAAGTTAACTTAATACAATAGAAAATTTGTCTAAAACTTTCAGGAAAAACACTTCTTGGAAAATTCCCAGGCCTGGACTTCATCTGTTTAAATAAAATGGGGTACAATGTAAATATGTAAATATTGTAACCCTCGCAAGTCTTTATAAGTCAAATAATGTAATATTTTTAAATTGTTTGCTATATTCCAAAAGATTATAATCTTAAAATTAAAAGTATTGAAAAATATAAACTTTTGAATGCAATGTCTCTACAATCGCTGGTTTGTACGATAATGTTGATTATCCTTAGTGCAAGTCAAGATAAAATTAAAAAAATGAAATTGTCATGGAACGGGTATTTTTTAAATGAAATTCTCTTCATTTTTAGAAACAGCTTAGAGTTGAGGAAAGATGAACAAAATTATCCATTTAATAAAAATGGTCTAATTAAAACTAATCACAAGAATTACTATCAAATACAACAACAAACGATGGCAACGAAAACAAAATATTATCTGTTGAAGCAATGGAAACATGACAAATGATAAACTCTGTATCTTTAAGAATAAACTTAAAACAGTTTTTTAAAAAATTACATTTTACAAATTGAATCCAAATCAACTACAGCTGCTCTGCGTGCGTAAATTTTTATTGTCCAGTCAAATGGTATTATTACCTCTGTCTTCAAATAAAAAATGGTTTTTCTCTACCTGCATTTTGCAGCATAAAGACAATATAATAAGCTTTTGTGTAACACTACTAAATAAAGTTTAACTACTTTTTAAATTGGAAAACATATTTTATGATTTGTTGACTAACCTATTGTAATAAAACATTTTATAAATGTTGTTAATACTTAAATTTTTTAAAATATTGTAGATAAAAAAAATATATATAAATTTTAGTTGAATTACATTTAAATTATTTTAACTTTCGTTTGAAACAGACTTATAAATATCTAAAAAGTTTGATATGCAAATTTAAGGACTTACGACAAACATGAAATTGTATTTAGATGTAATTGCAATTACATTTAATTATTAAAAATGATTTATATATTCAAATATATATATATATAT